TGTATATTACTTCATTGAATAAATAGAATATACCAAAATGTATTTAATTCCTAGCATTGGATTTGGGGGATATTTCCAGTTTTGTCTGTTATTACCAAAAGTGCTGCTTTATGCATTCCAATACATGTGCATGTTTCTCCAGGATATATATCTAGGAGTGGAATTTTAAATCACAGGGTATGTCAATGCATGACTTTATAAGAAACTGCCACGTTGGTTTTGAAAGTAAGCTATAAATTTGCACATCATGATAACATACACTGATAGTTCACGCTGACCCATATTTTCACCCTTGGCTTTGTTAGGTTTTTAATCTAAGGAATATAAAATAGTATCTCAATGTGGTCTTAATTTGCATTTCTGTGATTACTAAGGAGGTTGAGCAGAGATATATATGTACAATTTGGCCACATGTTTATCTTCTGTAAAGCACCTGCTCATAGCTGCATACCCACAGTGTCCCTTACATTCGTAGGCACTCCGTAATGTTTCTTGAATAAATGAATGAATCTCCATATAGCAAAATGAGACTTAAGAGATGAACTTGTTAATTTAAGAAAGATGTTTAACCACAGGAACCACTGGCCCTACTTCCCTTAAATTATAGTTTAATAACTTTTGTGTAGCCAGTTCAGTGTAACTGATTGATAACTGATTCTTTTGCATAATTTTTTAAGATTTTTAATTGATTTTTTGGAGAAAAACATCAATGTGAGAGTCTCCTGTGGTGACACCCCCTACTCAGGATGGAGCCCACAACCTGGGCATATGCCCTGACCGGGAACCTAACCAGCAACCCCTCAGTGCCCGGGACAACGCTCAACCAACTGAGCCACAGATGACTTTGCAGATTAGTTATCTTTGAGGAAATGGTGCTCTGTTTCGATTATTTAGTTTTAATGGCAATAGAGCAGTTCTCAATATTGTTCTAGTGGCTGGACAATGCAAACACTGCTGTTTTCAGAATACTACACATTTTTCAGAAAATCGTGAAATACTGGATCGAATTCCAACAAACAAAGTAGAAGTATTTTTTTCTAACAGAAAGTGGCTACTGTAAGTAAATAGTATAAAATCACATCCACAAAACTATGTTCAAGAAAAAGTATAAACAGAAATCCCTCTTTATTCCTATCACCGAGGCACCAAATTTATGAAAATAGAAGAAAACTGAATATTGAGAAGATTGTGTCTATCCATCACCTTAATTTTTATGATAATTTTTCCTAAGTATTTCAAAATTAGAACTAGGTTATTACATAGTTTTAGCTGATAGGTGTCCCACAAAAGTATGATTTTAAATCACCTTTCTCAAAGGAGTCTGGATAGGTGAAGCAGTCATTGGCAACAGACAAGCTCAAATAGGAATGTTACTTTTCTAAGTCTTCTCCAGCATCTCTTCTGAGGAAGTCATGGAGGTGTACTACTCAGGTCTCCCTACAAAAAAGAATCTACCAACCTGTAATTCTCAATCCCTTCATCTTTTCACCCAGTCCCCCAGATTGGTAGTTACAAAATAGGCATGGGGATGTAAAGTCCAGCACAGAAAATGTAGTCAATAATATTGTGGGCCCTGGAAATACCAGGGGAATCACTTCGTAAAGTACATGATTGTCTAATCACTACGCTGTGCACCTGAAACACAAAAATTATCATTGAAAAAGTTAAAATTTAAAAAAATAAAAGGATTCCTGGCTAACTACCAAGCGTGAGTTAGCTGACAAGCTCCATCTGTCGGTGCCTTCAGGCTCTGCTCCAGCGTTTCAGCCAGATTCTTCCAGAGTAGCCCAGCCAGTGACTGCGCATGCGAGTGAGGGTACCGGCCATCTCTGCCCTGAATGGGATCCTCGTGGGCAATCTTTGCTGCCGGGCTCCTCATTATGTTAGCCAAGACCGTCAGACCTGCATCATGATCTGAGGCTCTCCCTGGTTCCCTCCCTGGTTCGTCTCTAAATTGTGTTCTAGTTTCCTCTCAATAAATCTTTTGCCCTACAGCACTAACTGTCACAGCATCTGCTTCCCCGGGTACCCAGCTGATAGAACTGTTCTGCAGTGAGGGCGTTAATGAAAACATTAGCTGCAGCGTTTGTTCTTACTGACATGCATATACAGCATGTAGATGGCTGAAGTCTATTACAGGGGAAAACTATTGGTAAATCTTTTATCGAATCTTGGATTGATAGAGCAGTGGTTGAGCTTATGAGAGCATAAACATGTTCCCATCATATAGGACTTTGAATTTGAAAAATTTATCAACAGCTTGAAGATGCTTTACATTTTTAAAAAATTACCCACAGCAGCAATGTTAAAAAACCTAATGACATCATTATTTTATAATACTGATACTAATGGCTATCATTTATTGAGTACTTACTACATGGCAGGAAATGTGCTAAGCATTTTGCATACGTTATTCCTTTTAGTTCTAGAGGCTGTAGTCTGAGTGATATTAAGTTTTGAATTAGTTATTTGGTCTTAAGAGTTTCAGCTTTAGCCAGGAAATACATTAGCACTGGATCTGGAAATTGATCTCCTGGCTATAAAGTTAATGTATTCATTCAGATGTTAATGTATAATGGTGGCTCTTGGAAACAGGGATGTTGTGTTATTAGCTTAGTCCCGTGAAGTGCATATATCATAGGAGTGATTATGAACTTCCAACTACATTACTTATTTAGAAAAATACAATTTTCTCTATGTGAAAAAAAATCCCACTTTTAAATGGGGGTTGGAAAATTCTGATACAATAAATCGGTCTGACATACCATTTCCAGCCATGTATTTCTTTTAAAATCTGACTCCTCCACAAACTTAGATATGAAAAGCATTATTGTTATACAGGGGGGTGTCAAGGGTGGGGAAAGTTGCCTGAGAATGGAATCAACATTATCAGATCCCAAAGCTGGGAGTGCCAGAAGCCAATTCCAGCATGTCAGCAGGGCTGAACCATCTGGAGGTGGCTGAGGGCATTTCCCCAAACCTGAAAAGGATGCATAAAATGATTGCTTGCTGCCAGACAGCTAAGGTCATCTTAATCTACATGTTATTGCCTCCTACTGGCCAAACACTTGAACAGCCATAGGCAGTTTTTCCCCCAATCTGACAATGGATTCTGTATAGCAGCCCTTCCCTTTGAATGTGTATATCCACCTTGCCTTAGGAGAATTTGTGTTAATAAATAGCAAGGAGTCCTGAGACAAGAGAACTTAGTTCCTTTAGCTAAGTCTTCTCTGACTCCCCAAGATGCCTTTCAAAATTATGTTTCGTCTCTGGACTCTTGATTAATTTACACACAGTGCTTCTCCAGATTCCTGAACCCTTCTAGATGCTGGATCAAGAACCCCAACATTATGGGAACCCTGGCCATTTTCAATGGGGTTGGATTTTGTCAAATGCTTTTCCTGTGCCACCTGATACCTGTTCATAGGATTTTTCTTCATTAGCCTGTTTATATTGTAGATTACATTTGATTGATATTTGAATGTTGAACCAGCCTTGCATATATGGAATAAATTCCACTTAGTCATGGTATATGCTTCTTTTTATACATTGTCAGGTTAAGTTTAATTTTTTTTTTTTGAGATTTTGCATCTAAATTCTTGAGAAATATTGGTCGGTAGTTTTGTTTTTGTACTGTTTTTGTCTGGTTTTGCTGTCAAAGTAATACTGGTTTTATAAAATACACTGTAAAGTGTTCCATCATCTCCTATTTTCTGAAAGAGATTATGTAAAATTGCCATTAATTTCCTTAAATGTTTGGTAGACATTTCCAATGAAATCATCTGGGCCTGGAGATTCCTTTTTTTGGTTAAAGTACAAACTGGATTTCTTTAATGGTTTCTTTAAAAGACTAACCAGATTATCTAGCTCATTCTGGTTGAGTTTGGGTGTTTTATGGTTTTCCTCTTTGAGAAATTTATAGTGTATGAAGTATTTTATACTTGGGATTTAACTATAGACTTGTTAATCATGAATCTAAACCTTTTCTGAATACAATGTTGGGGGGTTGGTTTGTTTTTCCTTCTTCCACCCTAAATCTCTGATTGTATTGGTTAAACTGGGGGCCCAGTGCACAAATTCATGTACCTTGAAAGGAACTTGGCCCATCCTCTGCACTCCCACCAGGACCCACCCACTGCGGCCCCTGGTCCCCTCTCTGCCACCCCCCCAGAGTTACAGCCCCCCAGCAGCAGCAATTGCCGAATCCTGGGGCCGAGGGAGCCAGACCCATCACCGTGCTCCCCCCTCCCATGCAGTCCCACAGTCGCTGGCCCCGCTCACACCTGCTGATGGTGGGAGTGATTGGGGCTGGTGCCAGCAGCGAGATTGGGGCCACCACCGTCAGCAGGTGTGGGAGGCAGCTGCTGGCCCCAATCACCCCTCAGGAGCAGGGGAAGGTGGAGAAGCCCTCAGGGGCAATCGGGGCCGGCAGCCACTGCTCACACCCACTGACGGCACCAAGCGATTGGGACTGGCACCAGGCACCGGCAGCAGGTGCGAGCCGCGGCTCTGGCACCAGCAGTGGGTGCGAGCGGGGCCAGCGCCGGCAGCAGGTGCGAGCACCTGACAGGGCCACAGTGCGCAGGAGCAAAAAATTTTCAGTAACCACCAGAGGCTTGCCCCAATGACAGTGACTGGCGCCCCACCTTGGTCTGGTGCCCCCACTCATCTGCTCCACCATCCTGCCGCAGCCAACACCCACCATGTTCCATGCTCTGTCACCTGCTGCCAAGGCCTGCCATGTTCCACTCGCGCCCCCTGGTGGTCAGCTCACGTCATAGCAACCAGTCATTTGGTTGGTTGTTCTGCAGTTCGGTCTATTTGCATATTTGGGATATATATATATATATATATATATATATATATATATATATATATATATTTTGCAGATTAAAGGTAAATGACTCAATTTTTATGCTACCAAAATCCCAAGATTATAACAAGTGTTTTACTTGAAATCATATACGGAGTCTAGAAAGTAAAAACCTTCTTCAATAAAGTATTTAAATAATACTTCAAATTTGTATTTTTATGTTTATAGCTGAATTGGTCAGGGATAATATGGAAGACACAAATGAAGTATTTTGAATAGGAGATTTGGAGCAGGGAATTGATTATACAAATGGTAAAAAACTAAAAGAGCAAAGAGGCAATTATAAAGTAATCCAAATATTAATAATTGCATGAACATAATTTCTCAGTTCCATCCAGGGCTGCAGAACAAAAGGGAAGACATGTTACAAAAACCTGGGTGTGACGAGAACACGTGGCTGGTGCCGGGACCTCCAAGGTGTTGTGCTCAGGGTTCTGGGGGCATTAGGCGCTGGGACGCCGAAACACTCTGGACACCAATCTGTCTGTCAAGTGGTAACTACAGAACAAGAGCGACAAGCAATCAGTGACGCAGTAACCCATTTCAGAGACGACATCAAGAGCCACTGCTGAACAGACATAAACCTGAAATAATATGTTACAGCATTCACAACAAAGATATAGATGGACAAGAGAGAATTCAGCTGGAAAGTTACAAATTGAAAGTGAATGCAGATGGTGACTCATACTCATCATCAGAAAACTACTAGTACAGATTGAGCTCAGGGCCTAGGACATGTGTGGGATGGGTAATTCAGGTTACTTTTGGAACAATGTTGCAAATAGAAACAGCAGAATAAATCATGCCTTCTGATGATGAGCATTTAAGGAAATGTATGTACCCATTTTACATACCTAGCATCCAGGAGTGTTTCCTTTCATGTCTTTGGGTTGTTTTGAAGAATGTCTTTGTTTGTGGTCTTTATTTTATAGAGTACAGTGGGTAGCTTAGTGCCTGCAGCAATAACACTGCAAACTGCAGTAAATCAAATTCACTTCATTTATAATGCTTCTGAGAAAAGGTTAGAGAAAAACATAAATCTTATTTCCTTTATAGCAAGTAAAATTTCAGATTGTGTTTAATATGACACTCAACAGGAAAAAAGGCCGGTTGTTTACACTGACCGGTAGTAAAAGCTGTCTTTTATCTTGTTAGAGGTTCTTGACTATAGTACCACAATGTTCCCCCCTTCTAAGGACAACCAGAGACTTTTCCATTCGACTGTGTTCAGTTTTTACTTGAGAGTCATTTTCTGGGTGAACCTGTCATAGCATTACACAGAGCACCCCTATAACTTTCTCTTTGAATTGAAATCAAGTGCTGCTATCTGCTGAGTGGAAATTAACAGTGCATGCAGTGTGCCATCTAAAAAACACCCATTATTAACTTTATTCCTTTAGAAAACATAGGTCTGAAGCGAAAACAAAAAAATAGTTTTGCCTATTGTAATTAAGTCACAATAATCTTCCATGATTTGGGACTGACTTGTGTTTTTCATTATAGAAATTCAAAATGATATCATTTAATGTGGCTTATGAAAATGTCAATTATCTAAGGAGCTTCCAAACTTTCTAAAAATGGGATCCAATCAACTGAGTGACTCTTAAATGATATGGGGAAAGAGAAATTTAATTCTATGATCTAGAAAAGCCATCTGAGTATGCTGTTCATATGTTGTCTTTTTAGTTCCAGTGTTTGAATACCATAATGGAAGACATCTAACTATAAGACAATGGCAAACATACTGTGGCTTTTTAATGTTTGAGTTAAATTTTAAAAAGCCCTGGCTTCATAAATGCTCCCTAGAGGAATTTTTCATCTTTTTAAAAATTTGTCAACATTTCAATTAAAAACTACCAAATTTCTGGCAATCATCTATGTGACAACTATAGAAATTATACTTCCAAACTTTCAGAAAGTAACTCCTGAATGAAGACAACACTCAAATGGAAGTTTCTCTGGTTTATCTACTAGAATAAAAATTGTATATTTTTGCTCAAAAGTCTCTAATTTGACCGAGTAAAATATAGCTGTCCTATTCCTCAACATAAACAACAGCTTTTCTAAGACAAGATAAAAAAAGCCTGAAGTTTTGTAGCAAAAACTGCCAATCTTGTCCTTTGCAGTTAAAGTGGTTAGTGTTGACTAAAGGAATGGGAAGACTCTAGTAAAAAGGGAGCAATATAATGTATAATTTTTTCCAAACATGTAAATGGAACAAAAGGTGCAATAGTTTAAAAATGCCAGAAATAAGCAAACCAGTGAGGTATTCTTTGTTGACACACCATAGCATTTTTTTCAAGCACATTTGGCTACACTGTAAGAAAGTTAATTATTGCAGCCAAAAGTTAATCAGATATGATAAAAAGTTCCTCCAGCAAAAGCCATGTTTGCAAATGAGCTATCTCAATCCTGATTATTCATCTGTTAAAATGGCACATTCATGTCACAGCAATTGAAGACATAAACTGAAATTGGGTGACTGATTTCTGACTTCCTCTTTGGTTAGCTCCTCACAGGCCTTTCCAAAATCTCTATATATAAAAGCCTAAGCGACCATTAGGACTGAACCGCCAGAATGACCGGTCAACCAGTCACTATGACATGCACTGACCACTAGGGGGCAGACACTCAATGCAGGAGCTGCCCCCTCGTGGTTAGTGCACTCCCACAGCCAACTTCCCACAGCCCCTCCCCCCGGCTGGCCGGGACCCCTGATAGGCCTCGATCCAGCCAGGCCGAGGGACCCCACCCGTACACAAATTCATGCACCAGGACTCTACTTACTTATTTAGTGAAAAGTTACTCAAAGAGCACTTAAATACAACCTTTCAAAAATCACACAACAGCCCTGACCAGTTTGGCTCAGTGGATAGAGCTTTGGCCTGCAGACTGAAGGGTCCCAGGTTTGAGTCTAGTCAAGGGCATGTACCTTGGTTGTGGGCACATCCCCAGTAGAGGGTGTGCAGGAGGCAGGTGACTGATGTTTCTCTTTCATCAATGTTTCTGACTCTCTCTCCCTCTCCCTTCCTCTCTGTAAAAAAAATCAATAAAACATTTTTTTTAAATCACACAACATATTCATTCATGCAGTAAGTCATGGGTGGATGTTTGGATAATGAAAATCTAGTATAACTCATATCTTAAAAACCCTCCTCTGTCTTTCTCCATTAGAATAATATGCATTGGAAAGCTAAGTTCTAAACACTTCCTCTAACTGAAGTTAGTGAAGTTTAGTGCAAGCCACCTAGCTACAACTTTTTGAATTTTACAGAATGTTGACCCTTGATGATGTAAAACTTTTATTTGAAAGACACGATTATATTTTCAAAACCCAAACTGTCCCAATTTAATTTTCAAAATAAGAATTGTTCCATGTTTTCCGTTTATTGCCATTCACAACACATTTTATAAAATAACCCGGTAGACTTCCACTTCAACATCTTCACAGTACAAGAAAGTGACTGCTATTAAGTATATCTAAAGACAGCCAGTATTTTGAGTATAGGGCAGAATATTTTTGCGGTTCTTCCTAAAAAATGTTGCCACATTCATTAAATGCCCATGTTATAAAAACCACTTAGTATCAATTCCTATCCTTCAGTATATTTTCATATCTACATAGCATCACATTAAATGTTAATGGGCAAAAGAGTAAAAAGATCTAAAAACATTTCAGTTTTTAATGATCTAAAACCAACTAGCAAAAATCTTCCCTCCAAATATTTTTATATGTAATTTTCCGTCCATTACCACAATAACAAAGAGCTATTATACTTTAAAAAGAAGCTAAAGAAAAAGATTTCACTTTTCCTTTCAAACACGATTTCTTAGCTATTCAATACAGAGGTAAAACTCTACATATGGGTTTAAATTGGGGTGGGTGAGAAGAAGAATCTAAGTAAAAACATCAAGCTTATGTCAGTAGTACAGATGTCTCCTTTAGGAAAGAAAGTAGAAATTTTGATTCAAAGATTCTAAAATATTTTGTCATTACAAGAAACGTGTATTTTTTCTGGGGTCCTGAGGGCGATGGTGGGTTGGTAGGTGGGGCTCCTGAACTACTTTTTCGCTCTCTGGTGGAGGCATCTGCACAGCTGGGGGGGGGGGGGGGGGCAGCAGCCAGAGAGCGGAGGGATCCCGGGCCTGAGGGGAGGAGGCCAAAAAGGTCGCCAGGCGGGTGCCTTGGTTTAGACAGGCTCCTGCTACTGTCGCCTCCCCATTGCCCTCCCCCTCTCCCCCCAGAGCCTGGGACACCACAGCCACCGCTGCCTCCCAGGCACATTGCACTAATAACATCATCTACTAGCATACCCTGTTGTTTTTCACAAAATCCATAATAAAGAACAATAGGTTAGGCAAAAGATCTTTTTTTCCAACATTTGCTCAGATTTGTGAATTAGCCCCTGCAAAAACACCTCCAAGAATCATCCTCTCTCCAATCAGGGTTCTAGACTAATTGACCTTCAGCATCCCTCCCAATTTACAAACTTATATAGAATTGTTAAACTTATAGAATGCTTTTGAGAATGAAGTGTTTCAACTCAATGTATTTTCCAGATAAAGTCCCCCCATTTAAGTAGTAAAGCTGTTCTTCAAACATTTTTAATCTTACTTTAACATTTATTTTCAATGTATTTCCTTGTCCCCTTAAAAGAAGATGAGGTATCACTAAACCGTCTCCTAACTTCCTGGTCTCCCAGACCTGGCGGCTGACTGTGGCCCGCAGCCACAGCCTGGGCCCCAGCTCCGATTCTGGGCAACTTGGGCCACACTCAGTTTCAACACAAGGGTGACACCACCTGCTCTGTGTCCCTTTGTTTTAAAGCCCAACAGAGTTACCATAATATTCCCAAGTACCTGAAGATTGTAAATTACCATGCAAATGCAAAGGATTGCTGTCATAAGCCCCAACTGGCTTTTTCCTGATAACAAAGTCTAGATATTTCTTATAAAGTATATGTTCTTTGCCAAGACGTGCGTTTATGGTTCTGATCCTTCTGTTACCTACTATTCTCCAGTTGTCATTTTGTCTCCTGTTTCAAATTATGCTTCCAAGTGCACCAGGCTTGAGATTCAGTTTGTCTCTCCTACTGTCTAGAAGTCTGACCTTTGTAGAGGTAAAAACTAAAACCTAAAGATCTCTGTTCCTTTAGTAAATGTGGTATCATCATTACTCACTTCAAAAGAACGATTCCCTAAGTAGGTGATGCATCAGACTCACTGAGGCAGCATTTTAGGAGAGTAATTCAGTATGTCTGGAGTAGGAACCAGAAAAGCTCTTTCTCAAAAGCTCCCCCAAGTAATCTCAATAATGGATGGTTCAGGTTTTGGGACTCGCTGTTTTGCCTACAATTTCTTCTCCAGAATGTTAGCTGCTAGTTAGTTTTCAGGATAAAAATTTCTCCTCATGCTAGTCACAAGCACACTCAAAGCAGACTGCCCTCAATCTAGGCTCAGATCCATAGGGAACTAGTCATTATAATCCTTTGCAATAAAATTTTAAAATAACTTCAGAGCTAAGATAATGCATTGAAGCTTTAAGGTGTGTGGATCTATACTAACAGGATAACTGTTTCTGCTTTACTTGTAGTTAGCACTGCATAGTAAACATGAAAACCATCTTACTACAGCTTCCTTTACTAAGTAAAGGAAGGCAGAACTCCTGCCAATAACAGGAAAATGGCTAACTAGCTAATCAGTATTACTAAGAAAATGTTCCAGCAGACACAAATGAAAAATGAAAGGTATTTTACAAAACCACTCAGCTTCCTGTAGAAACCCAAAGAAGTCTACCATAAAGGGGAAAGTTGACCAAAACTACGATTGTTTAAAAATATGTTCACTTAACTGTGAAAATATAAGTGTCAAATAGGTACAGTTTTATCCTTGAGGAGGTTTAATAGGCATAAACGGAATTCAGTTTTCGTTTATTCTATCCAAATAGGTGTGGAAAGGACATGAAATATTTGGTATAATATAGTTCTAAACACCATCCCCTCCAAATTTAATACAAAAGCCACATTTGGATTTCCTAGGGGTCCAAGTGTGTCTAGGCACTGCGGAACGTTGTCATGTCCTTTGGTTCTCTGCTGGGGACACACCAATCATCAGCTTCATGGATGGTTCTGTAATGCTTCCAGGCAGCTTTGTTATACACTGGGAGTTTTTCTATTGATTCTGTTGACAGAGCCTGAAAGAAAAGCAGGACCTAAGTCTGGCATGTTTTTAGAATCCAGTATTTAAGAAAACATACAGTGGCAAAAAGATGACTACATATTAAACAATACTATATTGGCTATGAATTTTATTCATCAGAACACTGTCCCCACATGTTTTTAAGTAGTATACATACTTGAAACGTATTATTGACTGAGTTTATGGCACTGCCTGGTGTGCACGTTGACTGAATTTGTTGCTTGCGGTAATTGTCCAGGCAGCCTGGATGCCACTGGGTTGAAATTTTACACAAGTCTAATAGATGCCTCTTCTAAGACATGACCCAGAACAGAAGTTGGTTCATTTAAAAGTCATGTAAGTATAAAAGCACAAAAATTGACATATGACAATGGTACAATCACTTAATGAACTCTATTTTAATTATTTATTAGAATACATTTTTTCAGTATAGTCACTGTACTTTAAAAAATTCAACATAATATTATTATCAATAAATATAAAACTATGTCTAAGGCCTCTTGGCTTTCACATGAACCATTCTTGGCCCTGGGTTTGACCCTCTGTCTTTTCCTCCTGCCACTAGCGCCACCAATTTCAGTTATAGCACATGTGTTTCTGCATCATGCATAAGTTCATGTTTCCAACATATCATTGCATTAATTCACTATTCTTTTTACCTTCATGTAAATTACTGGAACTTGAAATAAACTGTGTTCCTCATTATCTTCTTCAATAGAATTTCACACTTAATTTTACATAGGCATTCCCCAAGATGTAAAAAATATTGAACTATAAATTTCATTCTAATAATACTAAGGAAGGTATTTAACATTGATGATTTTAATGATTCTATAAGACTTCTTGTCATCTATTTTTTCCAAAATGGAACTAAAACCCTTACACCTATATATTCTCTTTGTGCCAGAAATGCTAGCACCACTTGATCTTATAGACTGGATCAAAGATGTTACATTTAATGATAAGAATATTGCCTTCATGTTGCCCTTTTTAAGTTCCTTACAATTGAGATGGTTTAAAAAAGGAAAAGAGAAAGAATTATTATCTTGAAAGAATTTAACCTTTTCAGATAAATGTATTTTTTCCAATATAGTCTTCAGCATTTCCTGTAAAACAGGTGCCATCTAGTGGCCAGAATAAGAAACTAGAGCCACTAAATAGGTACCAACATTTTTAACCAATTCAGTGGATGGATGGGGCTCAGTGTTCTCCACCCCTGTACAATATACTGATCTCTGCATAAACACGTAGACCATCCAAGGCCAAGAGGCTCAGTGCCTCTGCTCCCACCAAGTGAGCTACAGGCTTACCAAGAGTCTCCTGTGCTTGTTCCCAAATCTGTTTATGCCATGTTATTTGTCATTGTAAATACATAATCCAATCAGGTATCACTTAAAGCAGTGGTTCTCAACCTTCCTAATGCCGCGACCCTTTAATACAGTTCCTCATGTCGTGGTGACCCCCAATTTCATTGTTACAAACTGAACATAATTAAAGCATAGTGATTAATCACAAAACAGTATGTAATTATATATGTGTTTTCCGATGGTCTTAGGCGACCCCTGTGAATGGGTCGTTCGACCCCCAAAGGGGTCTCGACCCACAGGTTGAGAACCGCTGACTTAAAGTGCTGCCAAAGCGGGGAAGGGTTCTTTGAAAAGTAAGATGAATATTTTGGAAAAACTCATGAAGGAAAGTCACATAAAAATTGCTGTCAAATCAGAGTCAGAAGACATTTTTAAAGGACTGCATACAAATAAAAAAGGATTATGCACTTGGTTGTTTCTTTTTTAAAATAAACTTCAAAAAAATGCCCTGTACACCTTCCGCAAGGAAGATACTGAAACTGCAGACCCAAAGAAAGGTCTTGGGCAATAGATCAAAAGATCATTGCCCATTCATGAGTTTTATGTTAAAATTAAATTTATAAGACAAAACTTTTTATGATTCCCCACTTTAATCCAACTTTTTAAAATTAAAAACCATAGTCCTGATCATTACATATAAGCATTTCTTTTCCTAGAGTCAAGGAGATCATTTGTCAAAAAAGATAAGGTCCCATATTAATAACTATATATGTCTATTTAAATAGCATGAATTAGAGGAAATTTTCATTACGTTATTGTTAAATATTGGCATCTTTTCCTCTTATCAAAAGAAGTCTCATTCACTCAAGAAAGCTGTAGTTACTACCTTAATGAAGATCACTGCATCTGTCCCATAGCCCTCGAGGGAATACAGCTTCAGGTCTCCTTGGAAGTACTGAGCATAAAGACGGGAGATGGGCAATCCATAGCCAAAACCAGCCTGTTGTGTGAGGAAAACGAAATTCTGAAATTCTATGCTACTGAGTATCCCAGGCTGTCAGAAATGCTAATATCTAAGTATTTCGAAAGATCAGGCTGGAGCCCAGCTGAGTCCTGCATTAGGCCACTCCCCTCCCGTCACTAGAAGCTAGAAGTCTTCATTCTTCTTTCTACTATAAAATGACTTGGGGAGAGGGGATCTGAAAAAGCATGTTGCTTTTCTTCGTTGGCCTGCTCTACAGTATCCCAATACTGCTTTGGGCAGTCTCATATAAAACATGTTCTCCCTTTTAGCAAGAGTAGAAAAAGCCTTGTGCGGCCTATCAGATATATCTTGTGACTGCATACCATGAACTTCCAGCCTGTGTTCTGAATCTGGAGGGATCCATAACAGCTCTACTTTCTTAATTCTCACAGGTCACTTCCCTGCTTACAAATCTTCAAAGCACAGCCCCTCCCCCACCCGTTGACTTGAAATAAAAACCCAAGCTTCTACAAAGAGCTTTCAAGACCTGATAAGATCAGGTCTCTGCCTCCCACTTTCCAGTCCAGCTGAACTAAATCTCCTGCTCTCAAGTTCTTCAAACATATGCTCTTTTTTTATCTTCGTGTCTTTGTTCATCCTGTTCCCACTGTCGAATGGCCTTCTTTACCTGGATAAATCCCACCAATTCTTTAATACAAGCAAAACATTTAGATAAATGTAAAAACGGTTTTTTATCACCAAATGACATGTTCAATGGCATTCCATACAACACTTCAGTTGAGAGCTTATGTGGATTCAGCAATCAGGCTATTCACAAACCCAGGCGCCAGCTTCACATCTATCTTCACCACTGTTCCTTGATTTTACTAACTGGAGTGTCTATTCACCCCTCCAAATCAACTACCTGTTCTCCACACGTCTCCTTGCCCTGGGAGGCTGACCTGAATGGTGATGGCCATGGATTCCCAATCCTCTGCCTCCAGTGGGTCCAGCCAATGGGGAGCCCAGGAGGAGTGCAGAGGGAGTCAAGTCAGGGTATTCACTCCCCTGATTCCTTCTGCCCGCAGTTGCTTCCTTTGGGCAGATGGGCTCCTTGTTACTAAGCTGCTGCTCTGCAACCTTCCCCTTTTCTGGGTCTGCTGGTTTCTCCTCCGTCTCCCTTTGATTCTGGGTGGTGACAGCTCTACTGCTGCTGGCCCTGGATTCCTGTACTCTCCCTCCTCATAGCTCTGTAATCTGTTTATTTGTAAATAAGCCTTCCTCAAATTATCGTAATTTGAATGAGCTCTCTTTTCTGTTGGGACACTGACTAAATACATTAATTAGTTCCAGATATGGCCCCAAGGAACTGCACGAGCAGGTGGCTCAGGATGCCATGGCCTGACCTCTCCCTCAACCACACCTACGGACTTGTGGGGCTTCCCCTAGAGAAAATCACAGACAAGAAAGCCAGCATGGGCCTGGCCCACTGCTGTATCTGCACTGGATGCTGGCACCTGCCAGAAGTGGACTGCCCTTTCACCACAACCTCTCCCAGGGCAGGAGCAAGTCCTACCCGTGGGCAGAACTTGAGGTACAGCACCTCCATGGATTCACAGGTGGCAAATAGGCTGGACAAAATGTAACTGGATAGCTAGCTGATGACAAGGAGATCTGGAAGAGAAATGCGTGGTTCTCTCAGTGGTTTGACAGTGTGAAGATATTCCACCATGAAGGTGTCCCTACTACATTCATTATATTCACACAGATGAAACCCTCAGGAGTCAGGCAGACAAGATGGCCACTCCTGTGCCATCAGGCAGTCTTTCTCCAGCCGCCCCAGGGCTTGCTTACGGGGTCCACTTACAAAGTGGTCATGGCATCGGGAAGAAGGCTCAGAAAGAGCTTAACAACAGTCTTCCCTTAGTAATAACAAGGCTTCCTGTTGTGTAGCTCACAGGGGAGCCTGTGCCATGTCAGGCCTTCTATTTTCTTAAAAATTCACATAAATTCTGCATCCTAAACAACAAACACTTATATAGCATTGACTTTGTTCCAAGCACTATCAAAGGTATTTTTACATACATTAAATGTCAGCCCTTACAATAACTTGATTTTTAAAGTTGAAGAAACTAGGGTATTAAAAGGTCCATAATTTTCCCAAAGCTACACAGCTAAAATGTAGTGAAGTCAGGAACAGAACCAGACAGTTTGGATCTGCAATCTGGACTGATATGCTATGCTGCTCTCTAAAAACATTCACAGTATTTGTTTACTACAAAAGCAATCTATCCCTTCTCTCCCCTGACTTCTAGAGTAAAATTAGGCTCTAAGAAGCTGCTCATGTTTATTATTTGACCTCATCTGTCCCGGGGCACATGGATGCCTACCCCAGTCACCATGTTCACCATTTGAGAAGCTCATTACTATACTAATATTGTACACGCTTTGTAAGACATGAACAATTTTACAGTTGTAGCTACAGAATTTGTGCTGCCTAACAAGTAAAACTATTATAACAAAGTCCTTATAGTAACTTCCTAGAGTCTAAAACAGATCCATCATATACTGTGTTTCGTCAGGACAACTCCAGTGCCTGTGCCAGAAAAGATTCCAAGCTTAGAACAACAGTTCTTCCAGAATTACAGGTTAGAGATTTGGCAAAGCGCTCTTCTGGCAGCTGGAGAACAAGGATAGAGTCAATTCAAAAGCTAATTTAATTAAACCTGAAAATAGATACTATTAAGATGAATAAAAAATACCAGCAAAATGATTACAATTGGAGCCATTTCCAGGTCGATGATTAAATTGATCAGAACTCTAGTCTTATTTCTGAATCTAGAATATGAGATCTTTCTACCATAAGTACTTGAGGGGAAAAAATCAACACTGAAGATAAAATCAGTGTTGACCAAATACCAGTAAAAGTGCTAATTTAGTCTTCACCTTAGAAACAGGATATCAAATGCATTTGATATACGGTTTACCACAGGAAAACTACTGACATATCGCTATCAAGCTTGGCAAGGAGACCTCCAAAACAATACTCTGTGTCTTGTGCTCTTCAATCAAAAGAAAAAAATAACCAAAATTTAACGCTATTTAAATTTAGAGGAAAGTGTTTTTTTCCTAATGGCTTCCCTTCTTCCTTGGGGTGTGCCCTACACAATGGCTTAACTGATTTATTTGGCAACTAATGTGATTTTTTTGGCAATTCACAAAGACGCACTTCATTATTTCTTGATCACATACCAGGGGTGCTGCTCGGGACGTCTCGACCCGCGGCCGGGGTGCGGTTGAGTACATGTAGTTGAAGAGCCTGTCGATTTTCCTCAGCGGAACCCCACCTCCTCGGTCACTCATCTAAGAGGAGAAAGGATCGTACACTATAACTAAGCCCCTTTACAACAAGGTAAGGACACACAGTGTCACAGTTTAACTGCTCTCTGCAGAGTACAGCTTTTCAAAACGAGTATCATGCAATCCAAGTTGCAACTGTAAACAATTCCCTCAGTGCTGGACTTAACACAACTCATCTAACATGTAGAATTCTAATACAAAACAAACTCCATCATAATACAAGTTCAGTGGGGTGACTTTGTGTATTACTGAAGTCACTCTATCACTGCAGTACAGTACAGACTGCGGCATAAACTGAGCCTACCTTGGATGTAAAAATAAATGTATTATTCCTTTTTGGTGGGCAGTTTGAAAACCAGGTGAAAAATGCATAAACCCTCTCTGACCCAACAATGTTTATCCTAAAAAAAATAAGCAGAAAAGTATGCAAAGAATGTGTGAGACTGTCCATCACAGCACTATAGAGAACAGCTAAAACTGGATTACAACCTAACTAGAAGACTATTTGAGTAAACTAATGTACATTCTAAAATAGAACACTATTTAGCCATTAAATATTATATAGAACTGAATGTATTGGCTGAGAGATGCTCACAAAATCTTGTTAAATAGTACAAAGCTATAAGAAGCATTTATAATATTCTAATTTTATAAAAATTAAATTATAAAAAGTCTGTAATGATATATTTTTGTCTATGGAATTATGAGTGATTTTTTTCTTTTTGGTTTTTAGTTTCTGAATATTTTTCACAATTACTTCTATTATGGGAAACAACAGTATAATTTTCATTTTCAGAAAGGAAAAAGCAGAGCCACTTAATTTTATTGTAGAATCTCATCTACCAGGCATTTCATAGCATAGACTCCAGACAACTTTCTAGGGAGTTTATAAGGTACAGAGGTTTTTATATTGTGCTTATGTCATTTTTCAACGCAAATCATATGGTAGACTGGATTTAATAATGTATTTACAGATTGTCTTCATTTTGTTTTCCTTCACAGTTAACATGGACTTATTTTCCTAGCTGTTGTACACCTTCCATTCTAATCTACTACAGCCATTTTCCTTTGTTACAAAATCTAAGTTGACTCCACTATCAATATTAAAATAGTTGTCATAAACAAATCTGCTTTTAACATAGATATATAGATATGCGTAGACATAAAAAATAGTTCTGAGTGCCACATATTCAAAAGTCAATAAGCTAGATGGCTTCTAGTCAAGTTTTTGTATAGTTTTTTTATTTATTTATCTTTATTGTTGAAAATATTACAGATGTTCCCTTTTTCCCCCCACTGACCCCCTCCACCCTGCTTCTGCCTCCTCCCCAGGCCTTCACCAAACTATTATCTGCCCATGGGTTATGCATATATGCATTTAAGTTCTTTGGTTAATCTCTTCCCACCCACTTCCCTCTGAAATTCATCAGTGTATTACATGCTTCATTGTCTCTGATCTATTTTGTCAGTTTATTTTGTTCATTATATTCCACATATAAGTGAGATCATGTGATACTTGTCTTTCTCTGACTGGCTTATTTTGCTTAGCATAATACTCTCCAGGTTCCTCCATGCTGTCTCAAAGGGCAAAAGATCCTTCTTTTTTACAGCTGCATAGTATTCCATTGTGTAAATGTACCACATCTTTTTGCCCACTCATCTGCTAATGGACACTTGGGTTATTTCCAGATTTTAGCTATTGTAGATAGCACTGCTATGAACATAAGGGTGCATATATTCTTTCTGGTATTTTGGGATTTTTAGGATATATTCCTAGAAGATCACTGGGTCAAATGGCAGTTCCATTTTTAATTTTTTGAGGAAACTCCATACTGTTTTCCATAGTGGCTGCACCAGTCTGTATTCCCAGTTTCCGTATAGTCTTTAAAATTGTCTACAGTATGTTTATACAGTAAGTCCTCACTTAACGTCAATAGGTTCTTGAAACTGTGATGAAATGATAGGCTAGTTGATTTAAACAAGAAGTAAGTTCCTATTTTCATCAATGTTATGACTAAACAATGTTAAATAAATGATATTATTCGAGGATCTGATCTATATTTCTTTCACAATAAAAATCACATAGCTATTTCAATTTTTAAAATAAAAGTCCACTCTGAAAAACCATTTGAAGAGTTGCCTCTGATATATCTACAATTAGATCACTGCAGTATAAAAATATACAAGGACTTTATTAAGAACTTGTCTGTTGCATTATGCTTGAAATTGTTCTTGGCCATGAATTCAAACCCTGTGAAGAGATTTATTTTAGTAGGATGAATAAAGAGGTCTGAGTATTTTCTGAGGTCCACAATTTGTTAATTATTCATCCTTTAATTTAATGCGCTGCTGCACACTTGTTGGTAAGAAGTGTGAGGGTTCTATAAATATTAACTAAGTAAACAACATATTAGAATAGATATTAAGATTAAAAAGGTAGATTCAATGAACTGGTTTTTCTTAACCTTCTGGCATCCAACAAGTACAAAACAAGAAGTGACTTCCAGCCACAGGCAAGTATGAGAAAAGCAGAGCACAGAGCACAAGGACAGGTGACTCTGAGAGGCACCTTCTTACTCCAGGTGAAGGGGGTAAAGGAAGCCACAGGAATACAGTTGAAAACTGACACAGGTAAATAAAGGTGACCTCCTTTGCTCTGCAGTCAAGAAACAATAAGCTGGAACCAGTAGATTTTTAAAGCAGCCATAAGAGTTTCCAAGAGAAATTGTAAGAGATTCTAGTATACCAGACGGTCTGAGTTCTTTGGGAAAAGGGAGGGAGGAAATGATGGGAGAGAGAAAGAGACAGATGTCTGGTCTGTATACATTTAAGACAAGAAGAATGGCACTCTGATGACAAATATACTGAGAAAGAGATTTTAAAATTAAACAAAAAATCTCTGATTAAGATAATTTGATGAAAAAAATCTAGAATCATGGGAACACAAGCCTATGCCAAGAGAAAGCAAGAGACTATGAGAGAGATACACGGTGGGGAATAATGTCAACAGGAAGGCTAAGGAAGAGACGTTTGCCAATTGTTTTTAAAGTTTTCTCTTCAGTGCATGAAATCACCACTTCTCAATGTCATCGAACCAAGAGCTGCCATTCCTAACTTCCTGTTCCCCAGAACTCCGGATTAGTTCATGTGAATGTCAGGGTCAAGGGAAATGAACCACTGCTAACTTGATGACAGCTCTGAAGGCAGGAAATTTAATAACTCTAAACTCTCACCCAGAGCTCCTGAAGTCTCTTACTCAACATCTTTTTTAACGTCAAGTTTATAAAATCAGCAACAGTGAATGAACCAAGATATTTACATTTTAACTTTATATATATGTTGCTTTAACACTTACATTATTTACTGAATATAGGCCAAACACAAAATCTGAAAGAGCAGCTAGAGTTCTGAGATAGGAAAAAAAAATAATTCCTTCACATGATTTTCAGCAGAGGGATAAAAGGTGAAAAATGTCCACAATTTGAACAAACTTAAAAAAATGAGTGGGTAAAATCTCTACTGAAGAAAATTAAAGCAAGCATTTAACACATAAAGAGATAAGTCACAAGAGTAGATACAGTCATATGACTTTGGATGTACGGAGGCAGAGCCCAATATATAGGTAGAGCTTTTAGAAGTCTGTTCAAGATCTTTACCAACATTTTTTATAGCTTTTTTAAAAACTGTATTTTTATTGATTTCAGAGAGGAAGGGAGAGGGAGAGAGAGATAGAAACATCAATGATGAGAGAGAATCATTGATCAGCTGCCTCTTGCACACCCCCTACTGGGGATCGAGCCTGCAACCCTGGTATGTGCCCTTGACAGGAATCGAACCCGGGACTCTTCAGTCCACAGGCTGACATTCTATCCACTGAGCCAAACTGGCTAGGGCTACAACTTTCTTGAAATATAATTCACATACCGTTCAATTCACCTATTTAAAGTGTACAACTCAATGGTTTTTCATATATTCACAGATATGTGCAACCATCAACACAGTCAATTTTGGAATATTTTCATTACCTCAAAAAGAAACCCTGGATACTTTATTGATTACACTCCTAAGCAACCTCTAGTCTACTTCTTGCTCCATTTTATTTGCCTGTTCTGGATATTTCATATGAATAAAATCATATGACACGTGACATTTTGTGATTGGTTACTTTCACTTAGCATAATGTTTTCAATGTTGTAGCAACCATATTGTAGCATGCACCAATGCTTCATTCCTTTTATGGCCTAATAATATTCCATTATATGGATATGTATCACATTTTGTTGATCCATTTATCAGTTGATGGACATTTGAGCTCTTTCCATATTTTGGCTATTGTGAGTAATAGTGCTATGAACATCCATGTATATGTTTTTGCTTGAATATCTGTATTTAAACCTTCAGGATATATACAGACCTAGAAGTGGAAATGCTTGGTCATTATGAACCTTTCTTTACACCAAACAGATTCCCTAAGCAAAGTCTGTCCATCCACCAACACAGAATGAGTTTGTGGCTTAGTGTCTAGGAATTCAGTAAACCTCGATCCATGTGGTGATGATAACCACAATAATGGAAAGCATCTGCAGACCAGTGTGCTAAAGCAACAAGAAACAGAAGCAGAGAGAGCTACATCACGCTGTAGCATAGCTGAAGCCCAAATGGGACTTACTTTGAATTAAGTAAACCTTAATGTAGTGATGGCGAACCTTTTGAGCTCAGCGTGTCAGCATTTTGAAAAACCCTAACTTAACTCTGGTGCCGTGTCACATATAGAATTTTTTGATATTTGCAACCATAGTAAAACAAAGATGTATATTTTTGATATTGATTTTATATATTTAAATACCATTTAACAAAGAAAAATCAACCAAAAAAAATGAGTTCGCGTGTCACCTCTGACACGCGTGTCATAGGTTCGCCATCACTGCCTTAGTGGGCAAGTAGCTGACACATAACTAATCAAAAAATAGACACATTAGCATCTGGGCTGGAAAAAACATGAT